GGAAAGAGGCTTCAAATGCCTCAAATTCTTCATAGGTCTCCAGGCAGTCCCTCTAAGGCTCATGCTAGTGAAGAGACCCTTCTCTTGGTAGCTGTCCTACACTAGTGAATGAGCACCAGGAAGGAGGTTGGAGGTGGCCTGTTGAAAGGAATTGGTGGAATTAGCTCTTTTTTCCCCTTCGTGCCGTATAACAGCTGGTGAGCCTGTCTTTCTGACCACTTCTCCTTCCCTCTGTTTGCTTTCTCATGTCCTGTGCTTGAGGCTTTGGACTCCCTTCTTTTCTTGCTTTCCGCCAGTATTACCTCTTTGCCCATTCACTCCATCAAAAGCTATTGCTTTTAGGCTAATAATGAGGCTGCCTTCCACAGCTGCTTATTTTGGGCTTACTTAATGGGTGTGGGGAGGGGGTTGCGGCTGAACCTGCGCGATCGCAGGAGGTTTGCTCTGCCTTCTGCTGCTCCCGGGACCGCTGCAGGTCCTGCCCGAGCTCCCACAGCAGGACTGAAAATCTGATAACCTGTGGTTTTTGGAGACTTGTCTCCAGTGTTGCCTTGTGCTGGTTTGAGCAGGGCAGTGGCCTGCATATCCTCAAGAGGTTATTGCCTGCTGATAAATTGTAGAAAGGCTTGCCTTTTTTTTTTTTTTCTCTCCCAAAGGATGTGAGTGAGCATAAGTTGTCCTCCAGACTGTCTATATTGCGTGATACTGTATGTTTTTGTTGTTTCCTCCTTGAAAGTAATAGGCATGCCTCAATCAACTCCATAATTTAAGTAGAATAGCTCAGGATACCAAGCTTTAAGCTCGGGCTGAGGCGAAACCTGTCTTACTCAGGCACTGAGTTAGGTGAGAAGACATTTGCATGTGTGCAGACATCAGCCGTGCTGGAGTATCCTTAAGATGCAGACGTGAACGTGGTGCAGAATGCAGCTAAACTAAAAGTCTAATTTTTAATGCATCCATGAAATGAATGAAACATAAAAACATTTCTGTTGTTTATGCTATTGTAATTTACATAGAAGAACATAAAAAGTAGTGGCTCAGACTTCAAGTCTTCACGTTGTCCCCCCCTAGGAAAAGGAGTTAAGAATGCACAATGATACACAGCCTGCGCCCAGCAGCCAACCGGCCAAGCACTTGCCAAGTTAGCTGTTGTATATGTGTGCTTAATAGCCTTGATGGTTTTTCGTTGCATCAGTAATCTTGTAGACCAGTTTGGTAGTACGATTTATGAAGATCTGGATTTATGGAACAATACAAGTCACGTAACTACTAAGAAAATCTAAGATTATTTGTGTCTGAAGTTTTCTTCATGTGCATGTATGAGAGTGGATTGAGATGAAGCAGAGAGTACAAGATTCATTTGTTGTGGTCACATGTGGTGTTGCTTATTTAGATAATCTGTTAAGTTACATTATCCTGAAGAGTCATCTCCTTTTTAGATGAAGAATTATTGAAGCATAGTTAGCATGTGGACAGTTTCGCAGAGTTTTTAAAGAAATTTTGAGAGGTTATGACCAAAAGAAGGAGTATTCCTTTGAGCTGATGAGACAAAAAGACTGTAAGCCTGGATGAACATCTGTTGGGGTAGCTGACCCAATTCTGTAGAGGGTATTATGCAGCACAGTTGTATTTTCTGGAGCAATACTTAATTTAGCAAAGGAATTTGAGAAGTAAGACTGACTGATAAGAGAAGAAGGACTCTCGATATGATATGCCATACATTTTTTTGGCATTATGTAGGCTGCAGACAGCAACTTCCTCTTCTAGGCTCCCAGTTTTGTGCTGACCATCAGACTTGTAACCTTAGGACCATTCTGTGCACTGGAATACCTCTGCGCCACAGGAAGGTTCCTGACCTACACGAGAGTAGGGATCTCTGTTTGTAGAGACCGATGCACAGCTAGGGTTACAGATCGCTGAGGAATCTGAACTCCCTTTTACAGTGAACAGTTATGAATTATGGAAGCCCTACACTAATCTCAAGAATGAGCTTTGCACGATGGATGGAATGTGGAGGTGGAAGATGCTGAGAAATGTTGAAGGGCTGGGGAAAGAAATCCTTCTTTTCCCTGGGATAAAATGAAATGTTGAGAAGTTGCTCATCCAAAGCAGACAGAAATAGAGCGTAAAATCAGTAAGCATAATCAAAGTGTTATTTTAATATAAATAATTGTATCTGTTACCTAATTATAGAAACATTACACATTTATAAATATATATTGTTATATATAGCTAGTTGGTATGTATTCCTTTGTAGGCATCCCTGTGTGGCAATATTGAGACTTATTTTGACAAACAGAAACAGAGTAGAGGACAGCTAAAGTGCTTTGAATTGAAAGCAGTGCAGCTGACTTGCGAGCAAGAAGAAATACTGTTTTCTGGGGGTTCAGACTTCTTGGTAAGCCTTGTCTTTCCCTGCCTCCTGGGTGCATAATGGTCCAAACTGCAGCTTCAGCAGTTTGGTTGCTCGGAGAAGGATCCAGTACAATGGTGTGTGACTGGGAAGTGTGCTCTGAGTTGAAATGAAGGGTCTCAAAGACTTGATGGGAATACTGGGAAATGTACGTAACACCCCATTATATATATTCCCTATGTTGTAGTTAACAAAATATGAA